AGCATAGTTTCCTGCCTCCTTCGAGCAAGCTATTTATAACCATCCGCACCAATACACAGTTACTTTCAATTTTCAAACATTGGGTGGTAGCTCATTTATAACATTCAATGTATACGCGGCCTTCTTATACAGATCTCGTATAATAATCATACATAATGGTATAGAAATCTAACAGCCCCCGGTTGGTTGTAGTAATAATGAGTTTTCAATGAATGTACCTTCAAATAGTCAAGTGAGCTCTCGTTTTGTCACTATCGAATATGCGCATTTTGCACCGTAGAGCCACATTCGCTGTTTTCTCTGACGCTACACTCGAGTGCAAGATTTCACGCACTTGAGTGTGGCGTCAGTAAAAACAGAGTGTGTGGCTCTACGGTGTCAAGGATGTCTCATGCTCTAGGTTGTCCAAATTGTTCCGCAGTTCAGATATTTTGTACTACTAGGTAGAACCAGAGATACGTGATCTATTGTCAAGGATGCCAGGTACTCTAGGTTCTTCAAACAATCCAAGAGTTCAGATGCTTAGTTCTTTTAGATCAAACAAGTATAGAACTATGTTAGCAATCATATCATAGCGCCTATGTCAGGTCAATCCTGGAATATTGCAGCATTGTCTGATCCCCTTATCAAAGCACGCATTTTGACCGGATAGAATCAGTACAAAAACAATTTCTATTATATGCACTTACGAAGCACGCTGCATGCTCATTAACATACAAACCACAGTCGTGAATTTGCTATGGTCTTATTTGTAAATGACATCGTCACGCAACGCATTGCAGTCGAGAAATTTTCCAACCCGAAAAATTTCTAGACCGACCGGGATTCGAACCCAGCCATCTCCAGCATAACGTTGCTTTGTATCCCTGCGCCTTTACCAACAGAGCTAAGGGAGAGCCAAATCTAATTCATATACAGTTCAAATTCAATTCAGGATCGGTTTCCATGCCATTCAATTCCAATTTTCATTCAGTTTAAATTTAACTCAAATTAAATTCAAAATCAGTTCGATTTTTATTGATATCCAATTCAAATTCAATACAAATCTAAATCTAATTTAGTAAAAATCCAATTCATATCAATTAATATCATCAATTCAAAATTTATTCAAATTGACAGAAATGTATCATGTGGATCAAATGGAAAGAAATCACTTAATTATTCATATCTTTTTTAGTTTTCCACGTTTTAGGATTTGTTGTTAAAATTTGTTAGCACCTCACGTTGAAAATTTGTTTTCCCTCATGTGTGTGTGTTTTTTTACTTCATTTAATTCCCACCCCCTCCCCCTTTCCCAAAAGGGTTGAAAGTATGGTAGATTTGAACCGGCCTTTGCTTAAAATCAAGGACAATTTGGAGAGCCCAGGGTTTCAGAGCTACGTGATACTAATTTCAAGGCAGCATCCAATAAACTGCTCAAAAATCGGTTGAAAAATATATTTTTTTGCAAGCATATATGAATGCGACCCGCTAATGCATAATGTGTCACTTTTTCTGTAGAACCGTTCCTAGAGGTCTTTGAAATCTGCTTTTGATTGCGTTTGTGTTTCAAAAAGTTGAGAAAATTCACAAAATTGCAGGTCAATTGCTTTTCGCAGTACAAAGTTATAGCGAATTGAATGGCTCAAAAAAAGACCACAAAGCACTAGGACGGTTAAACTAGCAAAATGCGCCGAAACTATATCAAAATTGAAAAGCTAAAAAAAATCATGATCATCATGCCAATGATCATGATTTGAATACAGTTGCTCGTCCACTGTACATAATCCAAATAACCTTTTGTCCTAAACTGTATAAATCGAGAACAACAGTTGGTAGCTTGCATTGACGACAAGCATTGCATGGTATGCGAAACGAATCGTGAGTGCGCCTGTCAATGATTTGCTTTCGTCGTTTTCTCTTGAGATCTCTGTTACTCACGGCTCTCAGTATTCCCTGTGTATTAGTGCTTAGGAGTAGGAAAGAATCGCTTGCTGTGGGAGTAGCAAAGAATCGCACAGTGGGTTTATACGTGTTCATTGATCGCTAGAAGCGATTTTCTTCCATCGCTGGGCCACACATGAATTTTTGCAATGTGATAAACAAATGATATATATGTGTCGGACACATAGTTCTTATGTGTACACCAAAAAATAATGTGTAACCACACATACTATTCATTTGACTCATAAATTTCATGTGTACTTCGGAGTGGATTCTGTTTGTGTGAACACATGAAAATCATGTGGAATTTTACATGGAAATTCGCCAATAAAAATGTGTCAAATTTTATGAGTGTAGAATACCTTTGAAATAATAAACATGTTGCTCCCGGAAATACAAAAACAAACATATCATAACTTTTTTTTGGCAGGATTCAAACAGAGACTTCATCGTAATCGGATGTAATCCTACATGATTAAACCCACAACCAGTATCGGGTTACAACGAAGCAATATCATCATAATGGAAAGAAGATAATGGGAAGAGCAGAAGAGGAAAATGACTTATCTGGGACAGAGTTGCTTTGTGACATCTCTGGCCGTTTGATTCCTTTCGTTGGTAGTATTTCTGTGCTCGAGTGGAACGTTATACAAAAAATCACTACTAGAACTACTAGAAGAACTGAAGCTGAATATAGTTTGACACCTGCTGGGAATGTAGAAAAAAAAAGAGTGCTTGAATGTTACCAGGCAGAATGCTATTGAGTGAATGTTTTGATCACAAGGTTAATCACAGACAAACAAAAGATAATGTTTTCAAAACTCTAATCAAGATTTAACAAAGTAAAGCAATCAGAAATTTTGCGTGAATCTGAATACGGGTTTCAAAAGAAACTCACCATCAGTTTGTAAAGCGGCTCGGATATCATCAACCGATTGTCGTAAAGCGTTGTCATTATTCTGAAGAGGAGAAGCATCATCGTGCACGTTTAGATCGAGGCTGGGAGGCAATCCTTCTTGCGGAACTGTTTCCACTTCTTCAAAATATCCCATGCTTTAATAAAACATACCTACACACTTAGAAATTTTTACAGAAATCTGTAAAATTTTACCGAAAACTCAACACCTGAACGTTCGGTAAACAGTTTCGCAGATTTCCTGTAATTTTGCACAAATATCTGTGAATTTTTCATAGATATCTGTAAATAATTACAGGAAAACTGTAAAATTGTTTACCGAACGTTCAGCTGTTGAGACTTCGGTAAAATTTTACAGAAATCTGTAAAATAATCTTAGTGTGTAGCAATAGCTGAATCCCGTTGAAATCAATTTTGTATCTACTTAGAAACAACTTGACGCATCTGCTGATTGATAGTGGTTGCTTTGTTTTTTCACATACCACGCTTCACTGTGAGCGTATCTGCAGTTTTTATGTTATCATCAAATTTTAGCAGTTAAGTCATGTTGACAATAAAAGGGTGTATAAACTCCATTTTAAAAACAATGAAAGAAGGTTCCATAGGGCGTTCATTAAATATATTTTTCATAATGCATTACAATTTCAAACCTTGTTTTTCATTAACTCGTAGGAAAATCATGTATTTTATATTCGGTTAGATGCAAAATATCAATTTGTTTATTTTTGCGAATTACGTCCTTTTGAAAAGTTATGCTTGATTTAGCGCTTAAATATCTAATTCTACTTACCAGAGAAATTCTACTTATGCCAGAGAAGAAAGGGTTTCCGCTCGGTTATATTCCTGGTGATCAGGCAAACTATCCAATGCCATCTGCGACACAGGCACTTTTGGTACTGCCTTTGTTGTTTCGCTCGTCTGAATCTACCAAACCAGGCGTGATTACCTCCTAATGGTTTCACAGCGGATTCAGGTATAAGAATGATGATGTTCCTGCGGATGGAAAATATATTGTTTTGATTGCTTCAATATGTAAAATTGTTCTAAAAACTCACCTCAAACAGCAAAATCAATTGATTTAATTTAATTTCCGATTAGATGATCCTTCAGTATTGCATTCTCAGTTTGAATACTGTAAGAACTTTGTTAACATTATTTGTTGATGTTTTGCTGTGAGCAACCTATTTTTCATTTTGAAGAAATCTCAATGATTTTGCATTTAAAAATTAGGATTTACTTACCATTCTTATCGGCGCTACTTTTCAGTTCATATTTGCTTTCTGTTATTGAATAAAGCAATTAAAATAACACGTAAAACATAATTCTCTTATCACAAACTTGAAAATATATGCAGTTTGACAGATGATCTCAAGTTCATCACCGCTACGATTACAGCGCCGCGGTGGCCGGCATAAACTTGGATTTGTCAATTCCCTTGTGTTTGACGAATACACACTACCGCCATCTGTTCAGCGCACTGCCCACCATAGATGGCGGTAATGTTTTAGTGACGATGTTTTACAGTGAGAAATATTCAATGTGTTATGTCTGTTTGTCTGTGGTTAATCCATTAGTAATGTTTGCCAAAACGCGAATAGCAAGAACCTTGCAGACAGTTTGCAAGCAAAATCATTGCAGCGATGCTGTCAATTTGTCAAGTTATTGTTATTGATCAAATCGTGAGACCAAATGAATGCTCGATTCCGATCAACTGTATTTTATACTGTTTTTTTTTTTAAGATTCATAAGCTTACTTATGAATTCTGTTATAATCTAAACTTATGATTTCCATAAGAAATCTATTTGTCAAAAATTCAAAAGTGCGGATCTCATGCAATTTCATACGTTCCTTTGCCTCCGTCGTACTAGAATTGATGTAGTTTTCAATAGCGTGCATAGCCCACGCAGCAAAAGTCACCCGCGAAGAAACGTCAATCCACCCGCCGCGACAGCACTAATTCGCCCGTGTCAAAGCCATCGGGTACCCCTATTTCGCCGCCGCTTGGATGCGTCGAAAATTTTTTCGCAGCGACCGCCGCCATTATCACCCATCAGCATCATCAGCAGCAGCTAGAGTCTGAAGCTTCTTCTCGGTGTATACGCGGACGCCATTGTTTATTTTCTGCCCGCTAAGCAGGAAAAAATCCGCCGTTCCGGTTTGTGTCGCGGCGCGAAAGTAGTGCTCTTTTTGTTCGTACGGTGGTGCTCAGTGCGTGAGTGGTGAAATTCGGTGTTTACGGCAGTGGACAGAAGGTGATTTTTGGTTTTTCGATTCAGAACTTGCTGGACCCGAACAAAAACGGCGACGACGACAGCGAAGGGGATTTGAAATTTTTTTTTCCTCGTAGTCGGTTGCTGCTCTTCTCGCGCTGTGCTCTGGGTGTGTGCCGGAAGGAGAGGGAATGGTTTATTATTTTTTTTGCATTTTTAGAGGGTATACTCTTCTAGCGTCCATCATCAGTGTCAAATGAGTGAGATGTTTGGAAGTGCGAGTGAAATGTACGATACACAGGTCCAATAGAATGATTACGTGAGTATGAATGGGATACAAAATAGTGACAGTTCTGGACCGGGCGAGTTTGTGCTCGTTCCTGCTTTGGCATGTTGGTTTTTGTGGCCGAAGGTAGTGAGTGAGAGGGTGGAAGTTTGTATACCGGACGGCCTGTGAGTGAGCAAGATGGGTAAGAATGCAGTCTCTTTCATGTGCATTGGGCGGAAAATGTTTGTGTTTGCTTATTATTTTGCTGCTGCGTGCGATCGAAAAAGTTTTTGCGAGTGGTGGTATTTTTTTTGCACATCAATTTCCGACGGTGGGTGCGTTTAGTGGAGGCATTATGTGCAATTTTATTTCCAGTCCTTAAAACTCATGCTGAATAAAAATATTAGTTAATTATGTATTGCGCATTCTAGACCATAGTACATAGACTAAAGATAGCAATAATGTATTTGTATTTAAATTTCAACCCGCAAATTTAGTAATAGTTACAATTATTGTAATTTATTCAGTCTACGGTACCCTGCTGGTAGAACCTTTTATTAGGTCCAGGAAAAATACATTTGGAAGTTTTCAAATTTTCCCGGACATAACGCACTTAAAAAATGCATATAAGGTGGATAATTTTTCCTCTCCCTGTATGTTATGTAACATAATTTCTCTATTACTTTGTCGAAGGGACGTATCAGCTTTTGTAAACAATGCATTTGATCATGTGTAATAGAGCCTCTATTTTGTTACTGAATTAATTTGTTTTGTTTTTTAATTTATTTGATAAGGCTCAACCGAATTAACTTTACAGAGCCGAGGATTCTTGTTCACTATACAATTAAACCTATAGTCAAAAGGTACACCACTATAAACATTGTATCTTCCGCTATCCAATAAGCCTCCTCCACCAGAACGGGAGCCGCTTCCAGTGTTTTCATTGTATGGCAGATTCGCCAACGGGGGTCAGAGCGCTTCCATTGCAGCAATGGACGCAAAACGTGATCAGCACTCACACGTTCTTCACGAAACGGTTGCTTTCCAAAGTCGACGACGCATCGACCGAAAGAACAATGAGGAGGACCACACAAGGATTGCTGCCGAGTAAACAGACGGTCACGTGACACACATTGAGAGTGGTCTGCTTCTGTCGACAGCCGAGACATTATGATTGATCCCAAGATACTATTGTAGAAAATCGTAACCTATAGAATTTTAGCGAAATACTTCGGAATGTTAAGGAAAAATAGGGTCACGTCGTTCATAGCTTGTTCTGATAGCCTGAAAAATGCATAAAGAGCAAATCGAGACATTGACCATCGCGTGAGAGTGGAACTTAATAAAGGCCTAAGTGCTGTTCGTAGCTTTTAGTTTTCCGATTTGAAAGCTCGTCGGTTGCAGTGGCCTGCTTACGGAGCAAAAAACGCGATTCCAGGTCCTTTCATATAAAAGAGATGTATGGTCAAACCGCTTGTTTATCGTGTATTTTGCGAAACTTGTCGTCGTCGTTGGTGCCGGGTATGAATGTTTACAACAACTGGAGTAACTGTATGATGTGATATAAGGATCTCAGTGACCTTAGAGCGACCGCAAGTCGATGATTAAAAACGAGCTCGTTTGCCTAGAAGCATACGCTTTTGCTTACTTAGTAGAAGACCGTGAGTTCAATCCCAAGCTCCATTGCGTTATATGATCGTTAGGTCATCAATTCAGCTTATCGTTTACCAAAATTAATCCTGCTGCAATCCCAACCTTCTTACCCAACATCCCAGTGATTCCTCGTGGAAGTGCAGAAGACTCCTCGGCTTCCATCAAAGCGTGTCACGTGTCACTCTTTCCTTTCTGGACCTGCGTTCGGACGCGGCCGGCGCTGGTATTGCCTAGTTTGAGATCACCAGTTTTTACACATTGAGGATGATTGCTAGTCCCAATCAGCGGCGTCTATTGGTTCTCTGTGTAATTACAGATGATCTGGCAATAACAGAGTAGCAACCGTGGGCGGTCAATCATGCTCATGCTCAATAGTACATTTTTTTTCAGAGGTTTTCAGCCTAAAGGCTGGTTCGCCTCTGGAAATAGTACATTTTTACGTTTTTTTTCATTGAAGTCCTGGAAAAAACTTAGAAAACTCAGGGAATTTTATTTGTCAAAATGAGTAGACATCCTGCATCTGGAAATCCGTTATAAACGTGCCATTTTTAAATGGAATTTTAGATGCCACGTAATTTTATTAATTCAAGCGAACTGAGCGTGTAATTAGACTGATACTTGCTTTTAAAATTTTCACAGAGGCGTCGCGTGCCTCATTTGTTTACCTGTGCACCAAGCTTTGTTCGTTATAGTATACCACCTCATATTAGTTTTTGTTTTATTTTTCAATGCTCATATTCTCCATTACTAAATTACCCAAGTAACAATTTTGGTTTTATGAGGGTTCTGTAGACTACGATTTAGGTTTGTAGAATGCTATAAAACCTCTTTAAAGCTTGCAATGTTACTTGGGTAATCACTACCTAACGTACCCTTTGAAGGGCCTATCATCGTGTATAAACAAAACTTGTATGGCCCTTTTCGCGCTAACCGAAGTAGGAGGAATTGCAAAACTTAACTAATTCCAGCTGAACATTGCATTAGGTTCTAAGTAATATTGATCGATTCTCTTCGTCGATTTTCTATTTCATTAATAACTTGAGCACATAATCATTTGTTGTTGTTTTTGTCGTATTAGATGCTAGATAAAAGCTTCTTTTATCGATCGGTGTGCTGAAAATACCTGGGAATGTCTCTACATGGCCGTGGAGATACAAGGCTAAGGCTAACTCTTTCGACTGAAGTGTAATAAAGAATATCCGTCAAACAGTTCCGAAAACATGTTTTTGATACAAAACAGTGTCAAAATCTACAGAAAATTCATAGTCCCATGGGTAGTAAACTTGAATTAATCAACTTTTTATTCATCAGAATAAACCAGGGGAAGCTCATAAGTTTTGACAGGCGCACCGGCGCAACTATCGGTAATTGAGGGATTCACAACTGACAAGAGAGTGAGAGCGGCTTTTGCGCTCTCTTTCTTCATTACTCTCTTTGTCTGCAATCAGATATCCAAGTGCACAGCGAGAAATGCACACTTTGGGCACCCATACATCACAATAATTGTTCTTCTAATTTAAACTCACACATTCAAACCGGTCTGCAAGTATAATCACCCCTATTCTGTATTTCGTTTCGAACGAAATTCTCATACAAAAAAAATATTTTTTTGTATGAGAATTTCGTTCGAAACGAAATACAGAATAGGGGTGAATAACGTCCAAAGCGTACCAGACTGCTGTTTCCGTGTTGCTCCCGTTTGACGCGTAACTGCTGAAAGCTTCAATTACAACCAGTGGTGCAAACCGCCATGTATTGTGGAACATTTGTGGTATGTTTCAAGAGGTGATAGAAGGTCTGCTTGGCTTACATGAGGCATTGACCATCCACAAACTTGCCACCCCCCACACAAAAAAAAAAAATATAAAAAAAAAAAATAAGAGATGAACTAACCGGATAAACGCGAACCATAAATTGACCTTACCTAAAATGGTTAAAAATTGTTTATAATCCCTGCTAAACTTTAACTGAAATGGTTATGGAACTTTACATGAACCTTTAATGATAAAGTTTCAACCTTATGTATTATGGTTTTTTGGAACTGGACCTTACAAATAATGGGTTGTTAAGAACCATTACCGTTCCAAATTCTTGTTTTCTCCATACATTTTCGGAAAGAGAACTATATTAGGACCTTTTAACTTATGGTTTGAGAACTTTAATGGTAATGGTTATGGTAGTCAGTAAGGTCCACGAATGGTTTTGTAACATCGATCAACTTTATGTGGAATACATCGCGAATTGGTTGCCTGTAATTTACAGATTACCAATTCACGATATATTCCACGTAAAGTTGAGCGATAATACAAAAAATCTCTATAATAAAGGAAAAAAAAAAAAAAAAAACCCACCCAAAAAAGCTCGCTTTTAGGTGCACTATTTAACGAGTTTTGTCATGGTAGTGTTATCGACATACTTAGAAATCAATGCATTAGGGATTAGGCAGACCATCCGAACCTTTTTAAAGCTAACCAAGGACGAAGATTTAATTGAACCACACTATAAAATAGTGTATTCATGGTCACTTGTGGTCTGGAGTAAAGAAGTACAGCTATAATGTGACCAATAAAATCTATAAAAATCTAACCGCATTTTTTAAAATTATTTACACCTGTGTCGTGCACAGGTTGCACATGTGGACGCGACGCCACTGAATTTTCATAATTCCAATCACCACCCCAAGTGCTATGAAATCATTAGCATGACTTCTTCGACACCAGCTCACTATTTGGTGTACTATCTGTAGAGAGACCCAGTTTTAATTTGAAATTCAAACCAGTCGCTTATCATAAGGTGATGTCCTAAACTCACCTCCGTTAATTGTGTATGCTCAATTTGCGTTCGAAAGAGACAAAATATTATAGGTAAGGTACCGTGCAAAATACAGAATATCCCGTATGTGCAAGCAGGACCACCGCTAGAAAGAGTTATCATCTCTGAACATGTAATCCATTTTCCGATCAATCAATTACCCTTTCCCTGCTAATTCGCATAACCTGAACGTTTATTTTGTTTTACACAATAGTCAATTAGTTCTGTCATAGAGTGTAACTTTGTTCTTGCAATCCACTCGCATGAAAGGGAAGATAAGGCCAATCCGCTCACCCACTACCGCAGTTATATGCGCGGTTGCCCTTTCTCACACACACACCCATACGCTCCCTAGAAGTAAACATACTCCCTCCCACTTACACTCACAGTCGAAATAGAGCAGAGCTGAAAATTCAAAATAATCAAACCTTGAACGAAGAGCAATAGTGTGAGAGCGCGAAGGAGACAGCGCACCAGCGAGAGCAGTACCAACTGCGGGGAACAGTGCGCTAGAAGAGCATAGTGCTAACAAGTATTTCGCATTCATTCACCAGCACCAAACTCAACTCTGGTAGTGTGAAAAAACGCAAAGTTTGGTTCGAACATTCTTCATCTATCCCCGAGAGGAATAGCAAACTAAACGCGAAGCAGAAAGAAGAAAAACTGTTCAGTGAAGAGAAAAAAAAGTGTTAAAGGATTCTTTTCAATGAAAAATCAACTGAACGTTGTTTGCAAAGTGCAAAAATTGTTAATCGGTAACGCGTAGTCGCGTTTTTTCTACTGTCGGAACTCCGCCAGCAGTGCACAGTTAAGTTGAGAGTGAAGATTTTTGCAACTTTTGTGTGGCATGACAGCCAACTCGGAAGCGGCTGGTGGCACCGAACTGGTCCCAGCATCCACCAAGAATAATGCCATCCTCCGATGGAAACGCGTAACGAATCCGAGCGGACCACAGCCCCGGCCCCGTCATGGTCACCGGGCCGTTAACATCAAGGAGCTGATGGTGGTCTTTGGTGGCGGAAATGAAGGAATCGTAGATGAGTTACATGTCTACAATACAGGTAATTGAAACAGTGTAGTTACTAATATTGGTGTTTGGTATTTTTTCAGGAACTTCTAGAGTGGCTCAGGTTTTTGTTGATAGTTCACCTCTGTTTTCAAACACTTTATCGTTCGATAAGTCAAACTCTCTCCACCCTGATCAGCAAGTAAAACATTGGTTCGCCCTGCAAAGAGAGAAAGGTACATTTTCTCAATCTTTCACTACCACTAGAAGAGCGCACAGAGGCCCCAGTAAGCGTAGCAAAATCGCCGCCATATTGAATTTTTCAAAGTCGAAGCGCTGTCTTCTTCCAGGCAGCAGCCGTACTTCGAGGGCAGCAAGTTGTGGTGTTCTTCTGCGCGGCCAGTCCCGTCCGTCAGGGCGACTGCGCTGCAATGGCGATGTTGCCACAGACAGAGAGGCAAGATAAGTGCGTTCCCTGTGGGAACGCTAGCAACGAGTCACCAAGTATCGATATTACATATGGGAGCTCACTGTTGTGAAGTGAGACAGCAGCTATGCAGGCCAAAGATACAAGAAAAGCGAGAGTGACCAGAACGACCAGGAAAGAGATAGTGCGCATTTGCAAATAAAGCAGCACAGCGACCACAATAGGAGGCTTGCCGATATAAACTAATTTGTAGGAAAGGGAGGCCAACTCGAGAGTTTTCGAGAATTCATATTAGATGGTTTGTTTCAACGTTGCATATTTCAATGGAGGTGTTGAAAATCCTATAGGAGAACCGTACATCGACGGTTGATTGGATTGCGCAAGCTATATAGCATGGGATTTTGGAATGCCTTGTATGTTCATGAATTCTTTGGTAATTATAGTTTTCCCCCTAATGTCTAATCCGTTTCGAACGGAATACAGAATAGAGGTGTTTATCCCTGTGGTCGAATGTGTTCTTCTTTAAGATTGAGAGAAGGGGTCTGGGACACGAATCAATTTATTCCAACGCTTGACCTTGATGTCTGTGCTAGGAATGTACTTCGGCTATAATGCGTAACTTGCGATACAAGAGAGGTATTCGTTGTCGAAAACGTTTGTTCAATAACCCGTTCCCATTAGAGCCCATATTACGTGATATAGCCTATCTTGATATCAAACTGCATACATCAAATTTTCACTGGAAATTATCTGTATGACGTTTGATATAAAGAAACTCTACACCACGTAATATAGACTGCAGTGTGAACGGAGTATAAATTGAAATCTGACTAAAGTAATTGTAACAAAATTAAATACACTAGTTTACAAATAAAAGTTAAAAAATAAACTTGAATCTTTGACCAATGATTCTTATGTAAAATCGTGCGCTGAATCCAAAAATGTAGTCAAAAAATCTCAGTAGGATAGTTTTCGACATACAGCTAAAAAATGAAGATTTACTTTTAAAAAGTTTGTTTACTTAAATACAAATATCTCCGGTTGTAATGAGACTATCAATTATTTTAAAGGTAGTAAAATTTTCTTTCGATCAACTGAACATAAATTTTCAGTTAGATTAGTGGTAGAGTCGGGTGGGGCAAGAGCGCCACCTTAACAAATTGTACGTTCTATATTTGCCAAATAGTGGATATTTATAGGAGTTTCTACACCGTATTGCAACTTCATATTATTGCCTTCATACATCAGCAATGTAATGCAAACTATATCTTGTCAAAAGTTGTTCACGATTTTTTCAAAATGTCATCTCAAATCTTTTTTTCAAACTGCAATGGGGCAAGAGAGCCAACCCCTATAAGGGTAAATGGGCCATGCGTCTTAAATTGAGTGAAATCGATTAATGCTTGTTTATAAACATAGCCTTTTGATTATTAATCATGCTAGCAACAGCTGTTATTGTTTACTTAATTTAACTATTGAATTTTACAATATTATTGAATACCAAACAAATGAACTATGTCTGCCAATGAAATCAAATGAAAACTATTGTTGTTGATATTTTATGTAGTTGGTTTTGTCAAATTACATAGGTGAAAACAAGCTTACCGAAGACTTAAATGGGCAATGAAGCAATTTGTTTTACATTTTTTGTATAATTGTATTGATAAATATAGGGGTGGCACTCTTGTCCCGTGTGGGGTTCATTTTTAAGAAAAATGTTGTTGGCTAATTATATGGAATATTTATATATTACAATTGAATACACCAATTCAATTATGCATTATTAGTGATGCCTCAATGCATGAATTGTATAAAACAATAATTGGAAATTCCAAAATCCTTATTTTATGATGTCTAATTATTACAGTAATGTCCCGATTTTGTCAGCCCCCTGATGAATTTAGGGCTGACAAAAACGGGACATTTTTTTTTCGCTGTTTGATAATGCAAGATTTATGTTTTAGGAATAATTCAATATATACGAGCCCATTTAGGGGGGCGGGATGAGCTGGAATTTCAAACTTTTCGTAAGTGTCATATAAGGAAAGACATTCTTACATTGTTACACACACACACATTTTTTTTTTAAAGTTATTGAATATGATTAAATAATCAATTGACCATTTCATCTCATGGGCGAAAATCGTCCCAAACTACGCTACCAACATTTCGAGCCACGAGATTCGAGGCATTGTTCACAAAATAAATGGTTCTGCTCTCCACTGTCGCACTCTTCTCTTTTGCTCTGCATTTTCTGCCATAGGCTCTACCCCTTAGGGGTCATGCACCAAGTATGTCACGCTGTTAGGGGGGGGGGGAAGGGGGGTTGTTTGGAAACCGTGACGATCCATACAAATATAATTTATGCTCCATGAAAAAAAGTGGATGCTACTTGTGCTTTGGTACATTAGAAACACAGCTTTGAGGAAGCGAAGAAGAAGGAGGACACGAAGAATAAGGAGAAGCCTAGGCCTCGTAGGGAGAGAAGCCTCCGGAAAGTGAGAGAGGATCCGGAGTTGAAACAACTAGGCGAGAACGTGGTGAAAACCAGGTGAACCCAGAAAGACGAGATGCTATTCGAGCTGACAAGGCACCCTACGGTTAAGAGCGCAGCTTTTAAGGAGCTCGTCGAAAAATCTCTTGGCGAGACGGCGAACGTAAGAGCCTTCTCCCAGGAGTCAGTGGTCGAGTGCAGGGATCTGGACAAGATCACAACATAAGACGAGTTGAAAAGTGCGCTGAAGGTGCAATGCAACCTGGGAGACGTACCGATGGCAATTCGGTTGAGGAAGGCGTATGGTGGCACGCAGATGGCGTCGATACGACTTTCTTCGGACGCAGCTAACGAGCTGCTGAAGACTGGCCGAATCAAGGTTGGGTGGTCAGTGTGCCCGTTGAACGCTATTCCTCGGGTATCTTAGAAAATGAAGAGATGCTACAAATGCATGGGCTTCGGTCACCAGGCGAGAAACTGCAAAGGCCCTGACAGATCTGATATGTGCAGGAAATGCGGAGAGAAGGGGCACGTTGAAAAAGACTGTACAAATAAACCGAGGTGCATGCTCTGCAAAAAGGAGGACGGAAACGGCCATGTGACGGGAAGTTTCAGGTGACCTGAGTTCAAGAAGGCAATGATGGGCCAGCAATAATGAAGGTAACCCAAATAAATCTCAATTATTGCAACAGCAACTGTTGTGGCAGTCAACAACGGAAACAAAGTGCGACGTTGCAATCATTGCAGAGCCACAACGTCACCCTTCTGTCCGGAGTGTGGGAATGTCGAAGAATCACCAGAGCACGTGGTCTTCGAATGTCCTAGATTTGATGATGTGCACGGAGAATGTCGTCGAAGAAATGTGTCGAGAGGAGGGCACCTTTAACGCCGTCAGCAGAGCAGTAACGCAGATCATGTCAGCGCTGCAGCGAAAATGGCGAGAAGACCAACTAGAAAGTAGTAATGTGCTCACACAAGTGCGAACTGAAAGCCGAAGCCGGGAGAACTCTCCGTCAGAGTAGGCTGTAAACACCACCGGGGATAACCGAGTAGAACGTGACGCTGGGAGCTAAATGGCTCACAAATTGGAGAGACGATCAGCGAACTGGAAGCGCCAATTAGCTGAGCTAAAGTGAGGTGCGTAATGCACGCCCCCCTCCGAAGTAATACGACAAGTGGTTCCGGGGGGAAAAGGGCAAAGCGTCTAAGAAGGTTTTAGTGCGGTAAGAATCCCACACACCGTGTCACCGCGACTGTGCGCCCAGTCGTCAAGCGGTGGCACGATGGCCTTTTTGAAGGTTTCCTCCTTGCCAAAAAAAAAAACACATACTTAACGTACATAATTTTCAACTAGTCTCAAGACCATTCTCGAAAAATTTCATTATTGAGCTCGGCAATCAATAAAATACGAATACGACTGTACAAAACAGTCCACCTCAACCAAAACTAATTGAATCATATAGGCTGACATATCGGGTCACCACTGTATAAGTAATTTCGATTTTTGACATAAAATGTTTTTTTGAACCGAGTTTTGTATAGAACTTTCTATAATGCTGCATAGGAACACCATTCATAGTTCCATGGGTGAATTTGCATTGAAAACATGTTTATTTTCAAAATTATAGGCGGTGGCACTCTTGCCCCACCCGACCTTTTGTTGTTAATTAATAGTTTATATATTTTTTTATATTTTGAATTTTTCCCAGAAATTATGAATTTCTGCTACGTTTTTAAGCAGTGCAAATAAAACTGTTTGTAGTGGTTTTACCACTAATCTCACTGAAAAATGGTGTTCAAAAAATCGAAAGCCAATTTCATCACCTTTAGTTTGACGTGTTAAAATAATTAATATAACCTCATTACAATCGGAGTTATTTGTATTTTAGTAAACACATTTTTTTTAGTTTTTTTGCTATATCTCAAAAACTATCCTACTGAGATTTTTTTGGACAGCATTTTTGGATTCAGCGCATGATTTTACATGGGAAATGATAATCAGCGTAGTAAGTTCAAATATGCTGTAAATTAATGTTATGAACAACCCCTTCAGCTATGACCATGCCACTCAACCGGGAATTTATTTACAAACTTAAAATATGGTCGAATTCTGTTAATGTGTTTATCCACATGG